TGCTCTTAACTTCTGAGCCATCTCTCTGGCTCACTAGCCCTGCATTTATGAGTTGGGGACCGCTCAGATTTGTGACTTGTTTGGACACTTAAAGAGAGCTTTTCTTTGGTAGTTAGACACCAGTCAATCTCTCAAGCACTTCACTGTGCTATACTCAACAGAGGGGATGTACCTACCCAGGCCCTCAAGAAGCTCAGCAGTACCTGGAGGCCTATGCTATACTGGTGTTTTTCTATCTCAGTAACTGTGGCAGGGCTGCTCACCATCCCATCCATGGGTGAGCTGAGACCAAAATGTAGTCCCTCCACACAGTAGGAAGTACAGTTCTCGCTCAGAGCCCATCTGTGTGATAGTGGATTGAGACATATGCTCTGGCTCTGAGGCCTGCATTGTATCTTGGTATGCAAAACAATGGTCTTATCCTGGGAGTCAGGTGAGGCAGAGCTTGAACCCTACCTATCCTTTTCTTCTAGCCTGTGTGTCCTGATGTCTGACTGGTTCAACTTCCATGGTCATATGTGCATCGCCTTTGAGCTCCTGGGCAAGAACACCTTTGAGTTCCTGAAGGAGAACAACTTCCAGCCTTACCCCCTACCACATGTCCGGCACATGGCCTACCAACTCTGCCATGCCCTTAGATGTAAGTGCCCATTGTTGGTTGGAGCATGGAGTATTTTGCCCTCAAAACAAAATCACCTAGTGGTCTTGCCACCCTCCATTTCCTCTAGCACATTTCCTCTAGTTGATCATTCTGCAAGGTCTCTTGGGCCTAGGGGCCTTGCCTGAAAGGTCCTTCTGTCTTCAGATAGGAGTCTTGGTGTGAGGATGGTGCAGGGACCGCATGTGCCAGCCTCTTCCCCAAGCTTAGGAAGAAAACAGGAAAGTACTCTAGAAGTTGCCTAGCTACTACTGACTCTACCTTCGCCTTCATAGAAAAGAGGAAAAGGTAGAAGGTGGACCTGACAGGCTCTCAGGTCCTGCTACCCAAACTCTGTCATTCACCTGTCCACCAACCTTGAATAGCAGCTTTGATGGAAGCATTGCTCAGTGCACTGTAGGGCTTATGTAGAAAGACAACTTGGAAAATGACAAGTGAAAGGCCTAGAACTAAGATGTGCGGAGCCTGAGTAGGTGATAGGGGAAAAGAACCAAGTAAGGGGCACAGTTCTGCAAAGGTTTAGGGTGTGTTGACTCAGTCCAGTGGAGAGGGAATGGAAGTATGGCTCAGATAGGGTCATGGAGTTGTGAGGATCTTACAGGCCAAATGGGAACATTGAGGTTGAAAAGAAATTAGTAGAAAGCACCAGTGAGAGAGATTGGGTCCAGGCTTTCCTGCTCAGGATGGCTTCACAGGCACATGATCCAACAGTCACCCCTTTGGTACAGTGAGCCTTGTTAGATAGCTAGTGGTGAGAAAAAGGATTCACTGATGTGCAGCTTCAGTGAGATGGGAAGGCTCTGCTCTGTAGAGAGTGGTAGAGGGGTTTTTTGATAGAAAGCATTCCTTCCCTTCCTGTTTTGAAGGCTTATGAGGAAGCCTTTCAAAGCTCTTAAGCTGGGAAGAGCTAGGGCCAGCTCCCTGCTAAGGTTGTATGTGAGCAGTTCTGGCTGAGAGCTGGCTGGCAAGCCTAGGGTCTCAATGTGCTTATTCCTCCCCTAGTTCTACATGAGAACCAGCTGACCCACACAGACTTGAAGCCAGAGAACATCTTGTTTGTGAATTCTGAGTTTGAAACCCTCTACAATGAGCACAAGGTAGAGCACTGACTGGGTGGGCAAGAGTGTGGCCCTGCTCCAAGGTAGGTCACCTACCTGGGCAGACTGACCTAGCTGGCCTGCCTTGCCTTCAGAGCTGCGAGGAGAAGTCAGTGAAGAACACCAGCATCCGAGTGGCAGACTTTGGCAGTGCCACATTTGACCACGAACATCATACCACCATTGTGGCCACCCGTCACTATCGCCCACCTGAGGTGATCCTTGGTGAGTGGCTTCATAGCCTCCAATATTGTTTATACTGGGCAGTTGTCAAAATAAATAGCTGGATCTGGTGGCACACACCTGTAATCCAAATCCTTAGAAGGCAGAAAAGATTAGTTTAAGGCCAGCCTTGGGCTACACAAGACCGTCTCAAAGTGAGGCAGGTAGTAAACAGTACCCATCAGACTGCCACCCAGGACTGGACAATACCTGAGACACTGAGGTAGACTTGGTCTTAGTCAGAAACAGCCTTGTTAGTGGGGCTTGGGCAAGAGCTGTGCCAGCCAGAGTGGCAGCTTCCTGGGAATGCGGGGTGCTGGGTCTCATTATCTTACCATCTTGGCTTACAGAGCTGGGCTGGGCACAGCCCTGTGATGTCTGGAGTATTGGCTGCATTCTCTTCGAGTACTACCGTGGCTTTACACTCTTCCAGGTATAGTACCATGTGAAAATAGACTTTTTTAAAAACAATTTATTTATCTTTATTTTGTGTGCATTGGTGTATGCATGTATGTCTGTGTGAGGGTGTCAGATCTTAAGAGTTACAGTTGTGAGCTGCCCATGTGGGTGCTGGGAATTGAACCCGGGTCCTCTGGTAGAGCAGTTGGTGCTCTTAAGCACTGAGCCATCACTCCAGCCCCAATAATAGACTCTTAAGGGTTATAGTTGCCCAGGGAAGGAATCAGTTGAAGAGTCTAAAGCAGGTAGGGAGGATTTCATCAAGGCTAAGACTGGGTACAAATAGATTCTGTCTGGGCAAGAGCATATCATGGGCATCCTGTAGCATGAAGAACCAACCTGGTGTGCTATCAGTGAGCCAGGTCTACCAATGGGGCCAAAGAGCATGAGCCTGGCCCTGGTTCCAAGGCTGTGGGCTGCTACCAGGTTAGGTTGAGACAGTTTTCCTTTCCTGGAGCAGGGAGAGCTCTTGGCCTATCTTTCCTCACCCTTTATTCTTCCAAAGTGGGCCGAGGTTGGGCCTAATTCCTACTTGCTCTGTCCCTGGTCTTCTGCAGACCCATGAAAACAGAGAACACTTGGTTATGATGGAGAAGATCCTAGGGCCCATCCCATCACACATGATCCACCGTACCAGGTAAGAAGTCTCCATGGCTCTGGGTCAGCTGGGTACCAGAAGATACAGCCTTTGCCAAGTATTCTGTGGTTTGCCAAGCTCCTAATAGCCTTTCCTGTATGTCCCTTGAACCAGTCTGGAACCAGATGTTGTCCTTTGTAGGGTCAGGCCCATACCTCTTTTTTTGAAGACTGCCAGCAACCACTTTTTCCTACCTCCCACGTGGGCCCAGACCCTGAGGGCTCCCACTCCTTGACTCCCCTTTCTCCTTGACTTTCCAGGAAGCAGAAATATTTCTACAAAGGGGGCCTGGTTTGGGATGAGAACAGCTCTGATGGGCGGTATGTGAAGGAGAACTGCAAACCTCTGAAGGTCAGTTTCTGGCTCCCCCAGCTCAGCTCATGCCAAGGAGACCCCAGGCATTGGGCAGACAGCAGCTGCCTCCTGGTCACCCCAGTTCTCTGTGAGGCAGCACCCAAGACTACTGGGTACTGGCAGTGAGGCTTTCTGCAAGCTGCCCCGAGGGGCCCTTAGCCATGCCCCTGTCCACACCAGAAGAGCCAGCTGTCAGACTGCTGCTTCCTGTCCCTCTCTCCTCTCTGAATTTTGGGAAGAACTAGGCAGGACTGAGGCAAGGGGAGGGAAAACCTAGATGTGGCCAGGAAGGAGGCTTGTCAACTGTTATTTGGTACCTGGACAAGTGCATTTTGCAGAGGTGATTTCTACCCACCCATCAGAACTTTGCATGTGGGGTAGAAGCACCAACCCAGCAAGATTCCACCCGGTAGCCTAAGTTCTGAGCATGAAAGGAAAGGAGCTGTTCTGTCCTGGAGGGCAGAAGTAGTTCTCCAAGGAGGCATCATTGCCTCCTCGACCCATCCCAGCAAGGCATCCCAGAGGCAAGGGGACTGCGGTGGCTTCCCACAACCCTGCCGTCACACTGAGGCACCTTGTGTCCTTGAGCAGAGTTACATGCTCCAGGACTCCCTGGAGCATGTGCAGCTGTTTGACCTGATGAGGAGGATGTTAGAGTTCGACCCTGCTCAGCGCATCACACTGGCAGAAGCCTTGCTGCATCCCTTCTTTGCTGGCCTGACCCCTGAGGAGCGGTCCTTCCACAGCAGCCGTAACCCCAGCAGATGACAGGTGCAGGCCAGCACACGAGGAGTTGGAGAGCTGGACTGGGCTGCTGGCCCCTTTTCTCCAGCCTCTCCCAGTGGCCTCAGAGCCAGAGCCACCAATGAACAGTGCAATGTGAAGGAAGGCAGGAGCCTGCAAGGGACGGGGGGGATGTGGTGCCCAGCTGCCAGAAAGCACAGATTGGACCCAAGCTATTTATATGTTGTAAAGTTATAATAAAGTGTTTCTTACTGTTTGTAACCCCCTGGTACCAGTGTGTCCATCTCCAGGCTTCTTGCCTTCTCCCTTCTCTGACTGACCTTATTAATAAAATCTTTCTTAGCAGCTCAGCTTGTGGAAAGCGAAGTGTGGATTGGGCCAGACACAGAAAGGCAAGCCAAAAGTAAGCCAGAAGCTGTGACATCCTCTAGGGCAGCAATTCTCAACCTAGGGGTCCAACGACCCTTTGACAGAGGTCACCTAAGCACAGATATTTATGATTCATCAGTAGCAAACTGTTAGGAAGTAGCAATGAAAAGAATTTTATGGTTGGGGCTTGCCAAAATACAAGGCACCGTATTAAAGGGTCAGCATTTGGAAAGTTGAGAACCACTGCTCAGGTTATGTACAAGTTTTGGCACCAGGATAGGGATAAGGTGGCAGACTTGCCAGACCTAGAAGGCTCTTGCATCTTTCAGTCCTAAGGGTACACAGAGCGTACTGTAGCCAGTCAAGAAGAATCTGGTTTGCATTAGCCATCGTGTCACTATGTACATACCCAACAGTCATGGTGATTGGGGAAATCACTTCTTCATACTCTACAAAGCAGTTCAGATAGCGCAAAACTCTCACTTTATTGTAGTGCTGGCTTTGGGTTTCCCAAGACCTGCATGAGTTACTGTTAGATCTGACTACCTGACTGAAACCAGCCATTAGGCAGAACTTCCAAAAAGAGCTGCAGGTAGGAGTAACACAGTTTCAATAACTCAAGCGGGGTGGGGGTGGGGGGGGGAGTTAGGCCAAGGGCAGGGAGAAGAGGGAGAGGCTTCTCAAAGTATCACCTCTAGGGTCACCAGAACTTCCTGATGCTAGCCATCTTCAGGACTAGAGTTCTACCTCATTTTATAGTAGCCTGTGTCTAGTAACCTGTAGTGGCTGCCTACTGTTCCAACTGTAACCCTGTGTTCAGAGAAGAGGCCCAGCTTGAAAGTTAGTCTTGAAGCGTGCAGTCCTCTGGTCTCTTTCCTGCAGCTGGAGAGAGAAGATGGAAAAAAAGGAAAGGCTATCCTCATCTGTTGGGGTCATGTTCCTATAAGAAAAGAGATAGCCTGAAATCTACGGTACCAGGGTTTCTACCCTGGACCCAAACTTCTTAACGAGCCCATCTGCCTGTCCACCTATACCTCTCAACCAGTGATGGGCACAGCAGAAAGAAGCCTGCAGGGGGAGAGCTTCAAAGTACAAATCCTTTGTAAAAGTCTCCAGTCTAAGGCTCCAGGCATGGTCCTATCCTACTAGTCTGTAGGACCCAAGTCCAGGAAGATCCTTAGGATAATACCCTAATACCCTAGCCCACCAACAGGGTCATCCAAACTGGGTTCATTTTTGGCATGTTTGAGACAGGCCACTAGTCCCAAGTCTGCACACCTGGGAAGGGCAACTATAAAGGGTTAAAGCCCAGACATAAGAACTGGAGTGACGCCATGGCATAAGGAGGGGCATGTAACCTGTCCTAGGGTAACTGCAGAGGACCATTTCCAGAGACAGGCAAAAGGGGAAACAAGGAATATTATTTATGGGCAAGGAGGTAGGAAGTGATGGCCTAGGACAGAAGCACCAAGAAGCCACCTCTGGCTCAGCACCAAACTCCCCCAGGGTCTCCCCAATACCGAAAAGCTGCACGATGAAGTCTGGCCCGTAACTAGGAGGTGGGACCTGTAGCGTGACAGGCACAAAACCTCTGTTAAAGATGACAGCAAAGCAGCCAGCCCAGAATCTCACCACAGTCATCATCCCAATACACTCCCCAGGAAAAGTTCCAACATAAAAACCAGAACATCTCAGGAGGGCCCAAAGCTTCCAAACAAACATGGGTGGCACTGGGGGAGAGTAGAGACGCACTCTCAGGATCTAAAGAGAGCACAGATCTGCCTTCTGGAAAGCTGCTGTGCAGCCTGATCTACATGATTAGAGTAAGGGTGAACTGGCTGGCTGCAGGGCCTGAGGAAGCATGGAAAAGACAAAGCCTTCTGAAACAGGGTGGGTGGAGGCCCCAGTAGGCCCTGGCCCATGCCCAGTGGCTATGAACCCGAACCAGTCTTAGAGCTGCCTGTGTCTGTAAACAAAGCCCCACTTGAATGGAGGCATGGTAGGATAGAAAGATGCCTGGAGCCACTGGTCTAGCCCTGACATGCACGCCAGTAGGAAAGCCTTCCCTGATTAAGGGAAGGTGGCAGGCAAATTTTAAGTATGTTTTGTTCTCTCACAGAAGAAACAAACCCAAAAGATAATCTACAAGGTCCACAAAGCTTCACATCCTTAAGGCGTCCGTTGTTGGGTTTGGCGACAGGAGTGCAGGGGAACACAGGGCCCAGCTGCCCAGAGCCTCTCTAGGCAGAGTGCAGGGGAACACAGGGCCCAGCTGCCCAGTGTTCTCTAGGCAGAGTGCAGGGGAATCACAAACTTGCAGCCAAAGGGTGAGTGGTAGTTGATGCCGACCTCCTGGAAGACCTGCTGGGGAATGCCAATGTCACACAAATAGACTCGGCCCGCGTGCTCCCCCAGTGGCAGAGGCAGGCCCAGTGCCAGGGACCATTTGGCATCGATGCCTTGTTCAACTTCATGCACAGGAGGGTCTATACTGAGCACTGGTGCCCGGTTCTGGTTGGCCCAGGCCACAGCCGCCTTGTACCAGGGCTGATCCCGCAGGAAGGCATTCTCAGGACAATCCAGGCAGTTGATAACCAGGTCCACAGGGCTAGTAGGGAGATCTGTAGATGGAAAGAATACATGTGAAAATTTCTGAAGCAGGCCAGACCAGGGCTTCGGTGGCTCTATGAACATCTGGTTTTCTAGTTAGTACCACTCTAATGCCTTTCCAAAGGCCAGCCTTCTAAAGGGCATAAGCCCCTTACCTCCTCTGCCTTGCAGATAGGGCTTTATATCTGACTAACCTCATGATGTTTGTTACAAGTTCTGGGAAAGCAGAGTCAGCCTTTTTAGGGGTGCTCTCTGGGTCCATTGTCTGGCTGGCAATAGGTATTTCTACTCAAAAGGCTGGCCTGCCCTTCTCTGGGAATTCCTTATGTAAATGGGTCCTCTACTCAGCCCAAACTTAGAAACAGGGAAAAAAAAGATCTGTGTTCTCCCTTTTAAAGGGCTTCTCTAACAGCCGGTGAGATGGTTCGATGCTTGGTAAAGGCACTTGCTGCCAAGCCCAATAACCTGAGTTTGATCCCCAGGACCCACATGGTGGAAGGAGAGAACTGACTCCTTAAGTTACCCTCTAGACCTCCACTCACATGCCACAGCATGTGCACACCTACAAACTTAAGTAAAATGTAATTAAAAAGAAAAAAGACTCCTCTGCTCTTGATTAGGCTATAGACCTCTGTAACAGTGTAAGAACAGGAAGTCTCAGCATGTATGCCAATCTTGGATTAACCTAAGAAATCAACCTGACAGGAGCAGAGACAAGCCTAAACTGTAGGGTCATTATCCACAGGCCAGCCTCCTGAAGCATCTGCCATAGGAAGCTTTTCAGATAGCTAGAAGAAGGACTGGCTGGAACTTGACACTACATTAGAGACTGCGATCCATTCCCAGCATTCATCCTAGCACTCAGCCTACAGTTAATAACATTGCTCAATTAGAGATCCACAGCTTCCCGACTTGAAACGCATCCGTATAAAGTTCCTGTGGGCCACGAATGGCTCAAGAGATTAAGAATGGACCCCTCTGTGTGTACACAGGAGCTTGTGGTTCTGGTCTAGGTTCCTCCTGACTTGTCATGTGTCCTCTGGCAAGGTCTTTCCTTCTTGGACCATCTTTGGTCCAACTCAACTTAAGTCTCACTACAGTCTGACATTGTTCCTACACCAAAACTGTGCTTACTAAGTGTGCCAGGCCACCGCACTGTTAAATCTAATTCTCAGTCTTCCTGTGTTGACTTAGAGCTCTTTCTTCCACCTGGCTTTCAGATACACAGGCCACTGCACCTCCTTCTCCCCCCTGACTGCTCCTGCCCTTCTCCTTGACTTCAGAAATAAATACCTCAGTCCTCTGCCCTTCTTTCCTTTTCCTGGCTAATCTCAGCTTCCATACCCCCTCAATACCTAAACTCCAGGCTGGATCCTTCCTTTTACTCCAGAAGCACAAAATTTCCTGCATAAGCAGCATCAGTTCCAACCCCTGAACACTCAACGACCATCTAACCCGAGGTGTTCTCTCTCTGTCAAATCCCACTTCAGAGGCAGTTACTCAGGCCAAAAAATTCAGAGCGTGCTCTCTCTCTCTCTCTTATCATTTTAAGTGTCTGTATGAATGTGAACGACATGTGTGGATGCCAGAAAAGGGTGTCAGCTACCCTAGAACTGGAGCTATAGGGTTTTTGAGCTGCCATGTGGTGCTGTGAATTGAGTCCGGGCCCTCGCAAGTAGAGCAATTGCTTTTAACCACAGAGTCATTTCTCTAACCATCATTTTTTTGTGTGTTTGTTTGTTTGTTTCCTTTTTCTAATGTTACTGACAAGCCCAGGCTGGTCTCTAAACTGAGATCTCTGCCTCGGGCTTCTGAGCTGCTCACTGGAGTCATTGTGTATCTTCTCTTGCTTCTTTCTAGTGAGTTGATTTGAACCTCACAAACAATTCAGAAGCTAACCACTTTCCACCACCTCTACCATAGGTTGGGTCTCAACTATCAGCTACCCCTAATTTTCACAAGAGCAGCTTAGAATTCTTCTGTACCCCAATCACCCGCTCAAAGCCCAGATGCTTGTCTAGGAGCTAAGCTAGATAAGAAGCAGGTTTGAGTCTATGGGTTGAGGGTAGCCTGATCTACAGAGTAAGTTCCAGGTCAGCCATGGATATATGGTGAGATTCTGTCTACTAAGAAACATGACTCTTCATTCCACCTGGAGTCAAAGCTCAAACCCTTGTGGTGACCTCTAAGATCCTTCATGACCCAACTCAGAAACACCCTGCTCCAAGTCTTCTAGAACACTGTCCCTCCAGCTGCATTGTACTCTGTAACATTTAATACTAACTGACCTAATGCTATTTACTTGTCTGTTCATCTCTCCTAACCACGTTGTGCATCACATCATGGGTAACTTATTTTATTTCTTTGAGACAGGGTCTTACTATGTACCCCTGAAACTTGATATGTAGACCAGGATGGCCTTGAGATCAAAGAGATCCACCTGTCTCTGCCCTCCAAGTACTGGGAATAAAGCCATACACCACCACACTCAGCTGGGAAAATGGATTAAAAAAATCATTGCCACATTTATTCCCATAACTGGGAAAAAGTACCTGTCCCATAAATATGGAATGAGTTAGTGGGTATCCAGATCTCTCTGAGAGGCAGGAAAAAGGTGGGGCATGGGCTATTTCCTCTAGGTAATTTAAAGACCCCTTAGAAGCAGAACATTCTGTGTACATGTGTACATACATACACATGTTATTTCCCCTAGATAGATTCTATGTAGTCCTGACTGGCCTCAAACCCAAGAACCTTTTGTCCCCATGCCCTGAGTGCTGAGATTTTAGGTGTGGGTCACCACCATATAGAACTAATGCAGAAAATTCTATCCATGTGATGCCTTTCTACTTGGCACCACCAGATGGCACCACCAGACTGTCATGCTACCAAGGAAGCAGGAAACCTTGGTCAATACTTAGAGGGCACTTTTTTTTTTTTTTTTTAATGAACCTAGGTCTTTACACAGAAAGCAAATATTCTACCCTTGATCTACACTCCAATGCTGATGCTTACCTTTTAGGCTAGACACTTGCTGACCTTGGGTCTTGCTGAAGAGAGAAAGTTCATTGGTGATAGATTCCAGCATCTTGACAAAGTTGGGCAGGAAGAGGATGACTTGCACATCATGGTTGGCTAGGTGCCTCCCACAACTGATACCCTGAGCCCCCTTCACATGGGGCCCACACAACAGGGCTACTGTAGGCCTCTGGTGGACATTCTTAGGATTCAACCTAGAACACAAAGTAAAGAAGCAGTCACTGGACACAGACTGGTCAATCCCTTAAGTCCCCATCACAGAAACAGGTCACTGTTGCTCTCAGGGGCATCCCACTCTCCATTGCTGACCAAGTCCTAGGCCCCAGAGAAACCCAGGCCCACTACGACTCTGACAGGCCTGCAGCATGGCCCTCACTGCTCGTTCTTCCCACTAGGAATTCACCTAGAAGAAGTAGCATACAACCCTGTTTGCCAGAACTATGTTCTGACCCAAGAACATCTTCATGTGAACTTCCTTCATGTGAACCGTTAGGTTCAAACCTCCATGGGGAAGAACTGCTCCATCTCTGACCCCCAGACCCCCAAGGTCACTTGGTTCCAACAAGGTCAGGCTCTTCACTCTTCCCTGCAGTTGCGACCATGTCCTCTGGTCAAACAGCCCTTCACTTTTCAAACTCGGCAACCTTTTCTCCGAGTTCCAGATTAAGGCTCTCACTTCTGACTCACGCCAGCTGCTCTCCTTTTCTCAACCCTTATTGTCCTTGATTATTTGCCAATCCAAGTTTGCTCTGAGGTGCCAATAATGTGGTGAGGGCAATGCTGGGGATAACTCCTAGTATTTCCCAGGGAGCTGTGTGAGCAAATGGCTGAAAAGCAATAAGCAATGCATAGGCATTCTCAGCTGAGATTAGGCACAGGGAAAGCCCTGCCTTGGAGGAAGCAGTCACTTGTGCTCCTGACAGTCAAAGCTGTCAAAGTGCCTCTGGTTTCTGAAAGCCAATGCTAAGGAGGTTTAGATCAGCCCTGGAGGGCCCACATCACAGGCAGAGAGGTAGAAGGGAGGCAAACTGCAAGACTTAGGGGTGGGGCAGTGCCAATCACCATCCCCCAGGGAGGAAGACGACAGGTATTGTCAAGACAAAAAGGAATTTCAGGACTTCCCTTCCCAAACACACTGGGAAAACTTAGTACCAGTCTCTAAGACACCAAGCTAGTCCCTACCCCATTATTTCTGCCTCTAGAGCAGTGGTTCTCGGCATGTGGGTGGTGACTCCTTCATAGTTAAACAACCCTCTCGCAGGGGGCGCATATCAGCTATTTACACTGTGATTCTTAACAGTAGCAAAATCACAGTTATGAAATGACAATGAAATAATTTTATGTTGGGCCTCACCACACCATGAGGAACTGTACTGAAGGGCTGCAGCATTAGGAAGGTTGAGAACCCCTGCTCTAGAGGAAACACACTACTTCTCCCTTCAGACAGACACTGCAGAGTGCTGGCATCTGACTCCCAAGGTCTGCTTCCCCAATGGGCCCTTCCTCACCCACATCAAAGTAGATGGGTGTCTAGCACCCACAGCACCTCTGCAGAGTGGAGATCTGGCTCCCAGTACACCGACAGTGTTACTTGGGTGATCCTTCCAACTCTGAGCCATAGTTTGCTCCTCTTAAATCACGGGGCTGTAATATTTCCCTTCAATGTGAAGCTCTGAGGAGCACATAAAAAATTCTGTTGTGGAAAATGGCACTTGGCACACACACAGACCATGGACAGAAAACAGTGCCTGACTCCCAAAGGCCTATTAACACTGCTACAAAGGACAGAGACAGATCTTCTGAGGACCCAGACTAAGAAAAACAGTCCCCACTCCAGTGGCTATTCTGAGAGCCAGTGTGCAGCAAGCTATCCTTCCTGGGGGAGGTTCCTTCCCTCTTCCTGCACAGGAGCATCAGGGACCCTGCACAGCAAAGAACAGGCCCAAGCAAAGAACAGAGAGGAACAAATACTCCTAACTCTACAAAGCAAGAGGTAGGGGCCAGAGTGAAATCTATCCATCCTGGATCAAACTTGCTTTCATTAAGACTGCTTTCGATCCAGGAGACACTGTCCAGGCAAACACAGCTGGAGAAAGAAGTCCTAGACACTTTTCTCTGCTTCCTCACCCCAGCAGCTCACTGTACTTCCTGAAGACTTTCTGCTACTAGAGGGCATGAGCAGTGCGGGCTATTGTCACTGGTGTGCTCAGTACACTGCTCTGTTCCTAACCTAACCTTGGGCAGGCAGGAACTAGCTCCTCTGCTAGGTTCTTAGGGTGTTTCTAGACGGTTCAGATATGGCACTCAAAACTGATGTGCTTCCTAGTGAAAGGCTAAGTGTCAAAGGCCAGATCTCTGTAAGGCTTTTAAAAGTCAGGCCTGACAATTAGCAGGGAGCTCAAGCCCAGCCAGCTATCATCAGGAAAGGAGGAGGAGGAGGAAGAGGAAGGACTTCCAGGAGATGGAAAGAGAAAGGCAAACGAAGACATCTGGTGCATAAGGGAGGCTCACATGAGATGAGCAGTGACTGCCTGGCAACAGTTCCTGTGTGCATGTGAGGTGTTGTGGGCTGGCCAGGCAGGATGTCATCACCCCACATTCAGCACTGTCGTCTAGAGCCCCTTACCTGTTGGGTCCTCCGAGGAGAGTCAGTGCCATCTGACTGGCACACACACCTGTCATCTCAAGCCTCCGCTCTAAGGTCAGTCCATGCTTCTCAGCCACAGATAACAGCTTTTTATGTAGCTCATATGAAACACTTGGAACCACCAGACCAGAGTCTGTGGAGCAAGGGAAAATTATTATAAGAAACCAGGTTTAAAAAAAATAATGTGGGCATTCTATGCAGATTCTGTAAATGCCAACTTTTTTTTTTCTTTTTTCTTTTTTTGGAGGTAGGGTCTCTCCTGTAGCCCAGGCTTAAACTTACTATGTAGCCAAAGATGACTTTGAACTCCAAATCCTGTTTCCACCTCCTAAATGCTGGAATTACAAGTGAGCATAGCCACACCCAATTTATTCAGTATTGAAAATTGAATGCTGGAGGCCACTTAGAATATACAGCAGATGACAGCTAACAGTCAACAAGTCGACCCACCAGACAAATAACTCTCTGATGGGGAGCCCCACTAGGCAAAGTCAATGGGGTCACTGGCTGTGGAAACTGGTTGTTTCTGTCTGTAACTGTCTCGTGTGCTGCCACAACTCCTCCCTAAAAGGACAGGCTGTGGGCTTCTTTCCACAGGCCACTGGTGATGGGTTTTACATTTTTGGGACATAATTATGTCTGTGATTTGTCAGAAGGATGACTTCTTCTTACACTGTATAATTTTGGTGAATAAAATATACTTTCTCAGCCAGGTGTTTTTTCCATGGCCTCAAGACAATTACAGATCTCAGAGCAAATCCAAAGTAGACTAGTTGCCCCTGGAGATGAATTGCTCAATGACATGTTCCCAGGTGTCTATGGTGAAACCAAGGTCAGGCATGAAAAAACCAACTGAACCCAGAACTTTGTGCATGCTAGGCAAAAACTCTACCAAATGAGCAATATCCTAGGTCAAATGGCATCTTTTTAAGACCAGGCCTTGCAAGGCATGGTGAAGTACACACCTTTAATCTCAGCATTCCCGAGGCAGAGGCAGTTGGATCTCTGGGAGCTTGAGGCAAGCCTTGTCTACATAGTGAGTTCCAGGACAGCCAAGGCTATGTAGAGAGCCTGTTTTAAAAACAAGACCAAGCCTCACCTGGTCCATTCTCCTCGAGGCTAAGTAAGGCATGCTTGAGGAGCAAATGACAACATACATATATAAAAAACTTGGTCTAGACTAGTGGTTCTCAACCCGTGGTTCGAATGACCCTTTTACAGGGGTTACCTAAGACCACTGGAAAACAGAGATTTGTACATTACGATTCACAACATAACAAAATTACACTTAAGAAGTAGCAACGACAATGATTTATGGTTGGGATCAGCACAACCTGAGGAACTGTACTAAAGGGTCGAGGCACTAGGAAGGTTGAGAACCAGTGCTCTAGATAACACAAAGAAGCAGGGAGGAACTCGCCCTCCCTCCTTAGCTTCAGCTTTAGGCCACTGTGCACAGGTGCCACAGCATAAAGAGAACGAACTTTTCCCAAAGTGGGGAAAAGTCACCCGGATATGGAGTTTCCCTCATGAACAGGCTGCTCCTCTTTCCCAAGAACTGGAACAGACACTAACCAGCCCTTTGACCCTTCCGAACACTGCTATTCTCATCAATTTCTCAGCAGCAAGTTCCACCCATTTGCTCTCCACTTCCTTTTATTTCTCTCTTCCACTCAATTCTTCCCCTTACCTTAAAGAAATTCAGACACCAGCTTGTTTTCTCAAACAACATGTCATTTTCCCCTATTTGCATACTCCCAACCTTCTGGCCACAGCAAAACAACTGTCAAGCTACTTAAACATTTTTTCATTCACCAGAAACAAAATTCTAAGAATGCTGTCCGGCCACTAGTATACTTGGAAAAGTTTATGTAGTGTATCCCGCAAATATCAGTATCTGCAGACCAGTGACATCTCAGAGAGCAGGAAACCAAGCAAAGAAGAAATACCAAAGTAAAAACTTGTGTTCTGAAGCCCTTGCCTTAATAACCAAGATCCTTGTCGCTCTTTCTACTCCTTTCTAAAATTTAAGTCACTCTGTCCCACGTGCCAAGGCTGAGGGTGCAGCCTGACTGTACATGTGAAAAGCTGGTTAAAAGAGCCATTTTTAGGACCTGCTTTAGCCAGGCACATATTATCAGAACTAACTAGGAAGCCCCGACCGATAGCACTGAAAAGGCTGGCTGAATTTTCCAGACTTCTGAGTTGTCCTACAAGAAACCTGTCAAGAGGAGCCACACACCTATCTACTTCAAAAACCTCTTTACCTGCAAAGTCATGCAAAGGAGAGCTTTCACTCAATCTGCATCCTTCACCTGTTTACCTGAACTAGTACTGTTGGGTTTATAATGGGGTGGCCTGCTACCCTATAAATCAAGCTTTCCAAGCCTGGCTCTTGTGTTATACACACAGACAGGAAGCTCTCTGGGAACAAGTAGATCCATTTTCAGCCCACTGTCCCTTCATAGCCCTGAAGTCTATGAATGAAACTCTTGGGTATCAAGGGAAACAAGCACTCCCCACCCTGGCTAGGAGCTACTACAGCTGGAAACTGAGTTTCCTACCATCTCCCCCAGTCTGTGCAGAGAGGAAGGGGTACTGCTGATGGACTGGCATATTTCTATAACCTAGAGCAAGAGAAGCTAGATTCCTCTTTGCCTGCAGTCATACGCTTTGGACTTTACTAGAGCCTGCTCTGTTTGCTTCTCCAAAAGGAACACATAAGAATCACAAAATATTCCTTTTAAACATTATAAAGAAAGTTCAAGAAGCTGGACTGGCTTATCAGAAACAGTCAGGGGGAATAAAACAAGCTCCAAAGGAAAGGAAGCAAGAACATAGCGTGTATACTGCAAATAATAACACTGGGAGTCTGAACATGGGCCAAGCCTAATTATGTTTGGGTTAGAAGATGGGTTTTTATTGTTTGAGAATCAAGACAGTCAAATCAGTTGCTGGGTTTCTCTGAATATTAGTATGTATTTTACAGCTGTACAGCGGTACTGAAGTAAGAAAGGGGGATATAACTATGCAGTTCGTGACAAGCAGAGCACTCATAAGGCTCCCATTAACCTCTAGCTATCAAGGAAAACAAGTCAAGCCCAGACTGCATGAGCCAGGAAAGGAGGTGCCTCCTTGCATTGCTCATTTCCAGTGCGGGGCTGGGCAGGCTCCTTCCCAGGACCCAGTGGCCCAGCATTGCACATGTCTGTTCCTTCTCACGCTATCACTTATGTATTCCTCATTCCGATCTACAGCACTTCAGGTCTTTATCTCCTTACAGACACACATGTCCTCATTTTCTCCATGCCCCAATCTGGCAGCACCACATCCAAGCTTCCCTCTCATCCATCCAGGTCTAGCCTTTCTCCTGCCTAACTAGACTCTTACAACCAAGTGCCTCTCAATGTAATGCAATCTTCACACAAATGTGGCCCTTTAGTAGGAAAGGTTCTATGCCCTATGTCTCATGAACAAGGAAAACAGCTCCACTGATGGGCATGAGATTTCTCTAGATGTCTGAACTGAGTCTATTCTGTGGCGGTCCCAAAATGGGGGCTCTGGGAGGAGGTGGCATATTTTCTTTTTATAATTCAAAACCACCTGCAAATACTGTAGCACCTTCTGACTAGCGATGTATAGGCAGCCCCTGCAGATCTATATGAACTCTACCACCACATACAATATAGCATCAAGAGGGTTGTTAAGAGACGCCGATAGTCACACAACAACACTGTCCTGACACACCAAGTCTTCTATTCTGGCTCCATCCATCCCCCAGCCTCCACCTCCCCACCAACCACCTCTACCAGGCTTAGATACACTGGCTGCTTCTAGTCTCTACTCCAACAGTTCCTAAATACTTTTAACTCTCAGAGCACTAGTTTTTCTCACGTTTACTTTAAAATAGTTTATTATATTTACTCACTTATTTGTGCATGCATGCAGTGGTGAAGAAAACTTGTGGGAGTTGGTTCTTTCTTACCATTATGTGGGTTCTGGGGGTCACACTCAGGTAATCAGACAGCAGACCAGTTATTTTGTTGTTTTTGTTTTTTGTTTGTTGAGACAGAGTTTTCTGTGTAATAGTCCTGGCTGTCCTGGAAATCGCTTTGTAGACCAGGCTGGCCTCGAACTCACAGAGATCCACCTGCCTCTGCCTCGCAAGTACTGGGATTAAAGGGTTATGCCACCACCACCTCGTTTAAACCAGAATTTTTACTTTTAAGTAATATACCAAACATAAAAGTTGTATATCTTAATGTGGTACCATGTAATGTTCAACAAACATAGAGGCTGTGTAATGTTTAAACCCAGTGCTAGACCCTGAATGCTATAATACCAACCTTCCATGCAAGATGTGCCCACTAATTTAATAGTGGCATGGAGGTTATCGGGTAACCAGCTCCTTTCTGATGGGATCTGAGGCCTGCTACACAGGAGGGAAATCATGCCTAGTATTGTAAATCTGATTTAAAGCCCAAGGCTCTGGAGGTCCTAAGCCCTAGGGGGAATAATAATAATTTAGTAAATGGACATGTTGTCAAATTGCCTTCTATATATTTATGTTTATACCCATGTATTAGTACTGCTCTCTACCTTGCCAGAGAACCCCCCTGCTGCGGTGGGAAGTGGTTAATACAGAGACTCATAATTGATCAAGGTGCTGAGCATGAGTGACCATTGAGTACTTAGCCCTAAATGAGACGTCTGCATCAAACCCACAAAGCTCAGGGAACAGAGGAGGCAGAAAGAACATATGAGCCAGAGGATGGGGATGGGGAGATAGAAAATGCTGTCTTCTATATATGACATGGCTCTTGTACTTAAAAACTCACTGCAGTCATGATCACCTGCACAAAAGCAAGCCACTATGGTTAGTCAGTATGCAAGCAGGCAGCACTAACTGGACTCATGGGTTACAAACAGACAGACAGACAAAAAGGGCGGGGGACATCAGAGAAAGCCTAAGGTGTTTGCTGGGAGTGAACAGGATCAATGTATGGATGTAGGAAATTATCAAAGAAAAAATGAAATCATTAAATCAGAAGACAAATACCACTATAATGAAAAGGTCAGGATGACAATTTCTTATCAAATGACCTAACACAGCCTGGTGACAGGATATATTCA